GCAGCTGACACACACACACACACACACACACACACACACACACACACACACACACACACACACACACACACACACACACACACACACACACACACACACACACACACACACACACACACACACACACACCATGTATACATCACTTCAGGGGACATTACATTGACTTACATGCATTTCCTGGAGACTTATCCTAACCATAACCAACACATGCCTACCCCTAACCCTTAACCTAACCCTAACCCTTAACCTAACCCTAAACAAGTCTTCACCCTAACATTAATGATTCCCCTCATGGGGACCTCCAATTTGTCCCCATAAGGGAGGCCAGTCCCCACACGTGACTGTGGACAGATTTAGGTCCCCACAAGTATGGGTAATGCTAGGCCACACACACACACACACACACACACACACACACACACACACACACACACACACACACACACACACACACACACACACACACACACACACACACACACACACACAGAATAGATGTTCCCGTCACTTGAAACTATCAATGATAGTTTTCATTTAATGTTTCATTAAATACTGAATAATACCCACCAGGTGTTAGTCTTGACCATGTCTCCTATCTGTGTTGTCTGAAAGCTAAGTGTGAAAAACTGAATCAATTACAGTTCACAGGTACATTAGCCATTGTTGAAATTCAATATATGTATAGTAACCAAAACACTGTGTTGTGAAGTGTTTTTGAAACATTAATAAGAGGGTGACAGATGGACAGATGCTGGCTCAGGCCATATGAAAGTGGCATCACCATATAACGGACAGACACAGTATAGCGACTCGGTGGTCAACATATTTATCAGAGCCAGATATTTTCATCAGAAGCTGGTGGAGACCAAAACAGAGCTAAAATGAGGACTCACATTTGTCAGGTATATGGAACCAAAGTCCAAATGTATACAAATATTTTTCCATATCTGTAGGATTTGTAAAAAGGAAACCGTCATATCAAATCAATATTTGTCAGTGGATGTCTTTACATCTTATTTTGCTCCCCCGAAGTTACCCCCCACAAATATATAAAGAATGCCTAAAGAAACATGGTGACAGTGTTGACCGTACACGCTCTTCTCTCAGTGTTTCCAGTTCACCTAATATCATATAACTTGGATTTAGCTGATGAACACATTTTTGGTTGGCCTGATAAAACACCATTTATTCGCTGTTGGGGGAGCATAATAGTTTGATCATAACTTCCAGTCTCGATTTATGGAAATTGTTGCCATTGTTTGGTTTTTACACCCAAATGAGCTCTCTTTCATAACAGCACCAGCCGCTCTGAACCAGAAAATGGGCCCGTGGCCTCGGAAAATGTGTTTTATTCCGGCACTGTACATCTAATTGATTTATTTACACAGAAAAAGCAGCTGCCAGTTTCTGCTGAATGTTTCATGTTGTGTCTTCAGTAGTCTGCTCTTTGAGGACTTGGCAGCACTATCAGCTTTCTTATCATTGTCCCGGTTGGGAGAATAAATCAAATTGTTATGAAACAGGATTGGCTTGCAGCTCAGGGATGACCAGAAATAACGTTGTGAGGATGTTTGTAGAAGTAAAACATTATTAATAGAAATGGAGTTTTATGGATATATTTTATGTATTTATGACAATACTCCGATGGTTTCCCTCTCACTTCCAATCATTCTTTCTCCGTCTCTATTCGTCAGTGACAATCTCATCCCCATAATACTCACACACAGATTTCTGTGTGACTATCGAAAGTGTTATCTCTGCATTGCAGACTATTAAACATTGATGTGTTGTTATTGTAACAGCAGCAATCTGGATCATCCAGGCTGAATGACCCAAAATAAAAACACTTTGGCTTGCGACAACACGGATTCTCTGATAAACAACTGTTTTGTCTGCAGTGAACAATTAGAGCATGCTTTGCTCAAAACCATTTTGGCGCACGATAATCTTTTGTTCGGGAGTTATTGTTTGTAAGAACCCTTTTTGGGGGAAATGTATTATCAATGGTAAGCACTGTGCAATGCTCATAAAAACACCAGAGACCAAATAACTAACCAACTACTCACACCATCACTTTACTATATCTAATTGATCAGAAAACACGCATATTTCCCTGTGTCACTGTTTGATCTTCAGTCGTTGATACATCACAGGATTGTCTTCATCTACTCAAGATTGAAGGGTTTCAACATTTCCAAACCACAAATGGATTTGAAAGAAAGTTCAAATTATTATCTCACAAAGTGAAAGTGAGATGTCGTGGCTCATTCTTTTGGATATTTAAAACGGTGCCACATTAACAGGGCTCCGCTTCTTGACTCACACGTTAAAAAAAAGTCCAAATAACACTGTAGGCGCTGATTTATTTACTTCTTCCTTAAAATTAAACAAACAAATGAATAAAATGATCAGTGAAACGTGAGGTCAAAGACTACCGATTCCCCGTTCCTTGCTGGAGACACCCCTTCCTTATATCAGCTGATTGATCACAATAAATCAAAACTATTCTCTGAATATTGAATTCAATATTAATTCATAAATCGAAAGAATATATTAAGATCTACATTTATTAGAAAATAATACATTTATTATCAACACAAAAAATGCTCTAACATGAGGTAAAACCTGTGTATTCCTCACCATATCTACTTCTGCAGACCTTGATCTAAGAGAATTTCACCAAAAGCCTGATTTACAAAATAAAGAAATGATGGTGGTTATCATGTTGCACTGGTGGGTGTAAAATAAATATATAATGGATAAAGTCTTTAGACCTTTCCCTTTTTTTCTAACAATGATTCTCTAGTACTGTTTAGTTTTAAGAATAACCACTTGGACTTTTTTAAAGGTCACCTATTATGCTAAATCCACTTTTTCATGGCTTTTATACATAAACATGTGTCCCCTCTGTGTAAAGAGATTATGAAGGTTTCAGGAAAAAGATTCTCTCTCTTTTTGTCCTGATCCATTTATATAAAAACCTGTCTGAAAATGAGCTGATCAGATTTTGGCCACTTTATGATGTCATAATGATTTTTTGGCTTGTGTAACCATTAGCCAATCACCAACCAAGGTAACCCCCCCCCCCCCCCCCCCACACCTTATCACCTGAATCTCCTCCTAGAGCACCATTGTGTTCTTTTTAACCAAACATCTCTCAGAGGGGCGTGGGGAGTGGCAGTTCATTTGTACAAAATCGGCATTTTTTTTTAACAGGGCTAACAGAGGGGATTATGGGATGCTACAATGAACGATCTGTTTGGTATCTCGAAGCAAACACTTCAGAGACAAGTTTTGTATCTGATACTATATTGTTAGAAAGAGTAAAATAGGGGACCTTTAAAGCCCTTTAATCTGTCTTCTAACTTTAGGAGTGCAATACTAAATTGCAGAAGTATCCCTTTAGTTTTTATTTGTATTCCATTGGTGTCATGGTGGCTCAGGGGAACCACCGAGGGAAGAAGAAACCTGACAGACAAAACTTTAGTCAAAGACAATGTGTGAATGTCTTTACATAGTGGAATTAAGGAATTACCGGCTTCCAGGGTGACTAATAGAGAGTCAGAAAGGTTGGTTTAATTCATATGAGAATTGTGCCCTCTCTCTCTGTCTCCCTTTCTCTCTCCCTTCCCCTCAATGTGAGAATGTCAGCAGCTCAGTCAAGCAGGATAATTCAGTTCTCACTCTGCGGATAAGGACTTCTATCCAGCTTTAGTCTGTCGCAACATTTGTTCCACATTTAAATTAGACTGCTGCAGTGGAATGATTGCATATAGATTTGGAGGAAATGGGAGAAAAGGGAGTAAAGGAGGAGGAGCTGTGGCAAAAAGCAGGAAGAGAGTGAGAAAACTCAACAGGGAAGAGAGGAGATTGTAGAAAGACACAAAGGAAGAGTACTACTTTTCCTTGCCAGAAACATTCAGTACAATCAGCTGTTGTTGTTCACCATCACTCTGGTCCCCATGACTACTGTCCTGGAGTCTGATGCATACAACTCAAACAACACACATCTGTTAATAATAGGCTGGAAATCAGACATGGCATGTGAAACTGAATGAATCTGAGAGGGCATAATACAGCTCACCTGCTACACATCCAATCAATGGGCCCTCAACCAGGATGTATATTTAACTCATTTATAATCGTATCTATGACAATGGGAAGTCCAAATCATCCACCTTTTTTGTGGTCCTAATTCCAATCCTGATTTGATATTCTGCCAATAGCTAGTCTGATTTGATGCTACTTACAAACTGAAAAGTTGAATAAGTATTTATCTGCAACTTAACAAAGAAGCATACCATATTTCCATCTGAAATGTTGCGGAGTATAAAGAATCATCAATTAGAAATTGAAGTAGCTCAGGTAACGTATTAGAACGTCAGGATTGTACTTCAAAAACTGTGATCTGGTCTTTATAATGCCCGCCCGCTGTCTTCTCTTTTAAGACCGAAACTGTACTGAAATAGTGTAATGGAATTTGTTTCCCTGTCTGTCCATATTCCAGTCAAAGGCTGTTGTTTCTATGGACAGTGAGGTGACACTGACTAACAGCCTCAAACAGCAAGCAGAGCTACACACCTTAAATAACAAATCATATACGTTTAAAGTTAAAGCCTCTATCTCCTCCACTTGATGAACAAACTATAGAATAAACAGTATATCTTATTTAAATGTTAAATAGTTGTCAAAATGGCTGTAGAAGTAAACAAACTTGACAGAGAAACTCAATCTTGGCTCTATATAAAATGAACAGTTTTTATAAACTGCAGCAGTTCAAGTCCTTCAATAAGCTTTTAAAGAGGATGTGACACAAACCGCACTAAAAAGCAACTGTTTAAATTTGATTTACTGAGTGCGGCAGGTACATCAGGGGAATATATCGATGTGACGTTTTAAAAGCTCCAGATAAATGTTTCCTTTTATCAGGAGAAGCATAAAGATGAAGCTTCCTGTTTTTAACTCTTGAATGTCTTCTCAATAAATACTTTATATTCCAGATCAAGATGTGTGTGCTGTAGGCTGGAGAAAGAATGAAGATGTCTTTGATATACGGTATGTGTGAGAATGTAAGTAATAGCAAGGAACTGTGTTTTTATTTTGATATGTGTGACATGATGCGTGCCTGTTTTGAACCGTACACGTGTGTTATGTACAGTACGTGTGAGTGTGTATGTGTAGGTGTCTGTCATACCCATCAAGGGGATATCTGTCTGAGCGTGATCTCCCCATCTCTGTGTCTCTGTCTCTCCACCACTTCCTGTGTTCCTCCCCCTCTCCCCCTCTCTAACCGATGGTGACAGTTGTTCTTTTTAAAGCAGAGTGGATCAGAGTGCGGGCAGAGCGCTCTTAATTATGGATGGCCTGTTTATCCTCTCAGGAGCACCCAGGGAGGCAAAACATCCATTTTAACTTGGCCACCCGAGCTAATATGACAGGAATCCACACACTGATTCTGCTTTATAACACCTCAAAGTAACAGCCCCCATAACTTCTGCTCATCATACACACACCAAACACAACACTGATTCAGAGAGTATGAGTTTAAGTTGTTTATTTTATGTGACGTAACTGTCTCCATCATCGTCTGGTAAGACACTTTTATTTGTGTTAAAAGAAGAGAACAAAAAAAGACATGTAAAGGATAACGTGGAAATGCATGTACCGAAACAAACAGTATCTCTCTGCGTGATGTGTGAGCGCGTCGGCCAGGCGCAAAACCAAAGGACAGAAAGGAACACGAAGTGGGAAAGATTGCTCTTTTTCTAACCTTCCAAGCATGTCTGTTATTGATTTATACCACAAGTAAAACTCAACTTCAAATGTACCTGCCTGGTCTCTGTTATACTTTTGTGTCCAAACCTACTGAGCCGTTTGGACTGATGTTACCAGTTACCCATCTCGGCCATGTCCCACAGCTATTATCTACACATTGTTTTCATTAATTATGTTTTTGGAAACCTAACGTTGACATTTGTAAATTACAAAATAAATACTGCACCTATCTGTTAACTTGTCTATTATTCATTTAATCAGTCAATTATTGTTTGGACTACAGCTTATAGGAAAACCCATTTTCACAGATCCTAAGGGAAAATATATTTGTTTGCTTTGTCTGGCCGTTAACCCAAAACCCAGAGATATTCAGCATGCCATTTGACATATGACCTTCAGAAGGCCTTAAACAACAAAGTTAGAAGCTCAAAAGAGTTGTTTAACTTGAGTTTATAATATTTGATCATAGCTGAAAACAACGAATGTTCAGCATTTGTTTTGCTTTTTCAACACATTATTAGTTACATTTCTGTTAATCAACTACATCGAATAAACTACTGACTTGTGCGTTTTCACGTACAAGTATGTGTCGTGACATTTTCTCTGTATTATGTTGTTTATTTGTTTTGGTCCAACAGAACCACAAATCCCTGTAACAACAAATTTCATACATTTAAAAATGCATAAGAATAAATCTGTAACCCGTTTACTCAGGCTCTGACTGACGCCGAGGGATTTATTTGATGTAGAATTGAGCTGACATCCATGATCCATATATACAGTAATTTTGCAGCAGTGGATACTGCAGATTCATTTAGTTTGTTTACCAATCAATCTGTGTGTAAATTGCACAAGAGAAGAGATTGAATTTTCATTCTTTACGCAAATATAATGTGACTTTACTTTAATGTAATTCCATTAAACCTCAGCAGCACGTTTGGGGTTCAATAGTGTTTCATTTAATCTGAATGCTTTTGGATCCCTTATCTAATCTGATTAATTTAAGATTTGAACATTTGTGATATACTGTGAGGTAACAATAACTCAACTTTAAAAGGCAAAACCACAACGGTTTGCAGTTCATAACCTTACTTAAAGATATGCTATCATGCTATTTTTACGCATATATTATGGGTCTCAGATATATAGAAATATATAAAAAACATGTCTATGACGTGTTTTGCTCAAATTACCAAACAGATCATGCATTTTAGACTTCCCTCATATCCCTCTATTCCAGACCCCGAGGTTTTTTGCTGGGAGGGGGCGCTAATGCCTGCTCAGAATTCTACGAGATTCAGCTAAATGCTGCCGGGATTAAACGCCATATCATGTTCCAAACCACATCAAGGATTATTTCTGAAACAGTATGGAGCTCAAATGCTTTTTCTCTTGCGGGTTTACCACAAGGTGAGTTCCTTTTTTTATTTCCTGCTTTTTTACACATACTCTCTCCAGTTAGCTCTGAGTGTTAGCGATGCTTGCTAATGTAAACATAGACCATAATACTTCGAAAACACATCGGCATTGTTTCTGATAGCGACGTTTCTGATAGGGCCGTGGGTGTAAATCCAGCCCACATTTCCGATATTACGTCATATCGGACGCAAATCTGGATCAGCTCCGAAAAGAGATGAGGTTTTGTTTTCTGACACTTTGTGAGTTCCCTGACACACCGGGGAAACGTATTCATGTAGGAGACCTTTAAACAATGTTCAATAAAACTGCTCCGTGCTGGGAGTCAGTTTAATTTGTTTTGGTGAATGTATGTGAAACTGTGAAAACATCCAACTTGAAGACAGGGCTTCCGAGGGGCCCGCACCGCAGGGAGCTAATGTCAGGGGTGTGAATGCAACAAATTAACGGGTACAGTCAGAGCCGGCAAGACTTCACATAGCTATCTGGCTCTGGCTCACTTTTTGAACATGTGGTGAGAAACTGAAAGTTAGTCTTTAGGCTTTTAGAGGAAAATGTTTCTCAGACAGATCTCACCCTCAAAGCCCCAAACCAATCAGTCAGTCCTCTGATGACTGAGGCTCATTGAGCTCTTTTCTGATTGGTTCTGAAGGCAAGAAAAGAGCTAGGATTGCCCCAGTGGGAGGTTGGGAATTGGCGTCTTTAAGTGTTTTATGTGTTTCTCTTAATTCCCTCTAACTCTTTAATGTTTGTCTAAATTTAATTTGTGTGTGTATGCACGATAATTCCTCTAAGTGTGTAGAACGCTGTGTAATGGAGTGTTCGTATGGAAGCTTGTGTGTGTACATAGAGAAGTTTTTAATTAGCTAATGCTGCAACACATTGTGGCAATATGTGGTAGACAGAAAAGCAGATGTTTATTGTTTTTAATAGTCTAACGATGGTGATCTCTGCCAGTGCTGCACGTTGGAAAGTGTTGCCTACTGTGTCTGCAGACAGTCAGAGAAAAGAAGCTTTCAGTACAAACTTTCACCCTCAACTATGGAGATGATGACATGCTGATCGATGTCTTTTTACTGTCTCAGGGAAAATCACATTCACTCTTTAGTAGCATCTGTTGTCAGCAGTGGGGCAACACAATAACACAAGCAAACATGTCCGTCCGCTTTCATTTCAGATATCTATCTTTAGAAAGCTTTGTTCCTCTCCCTGCTTCTTTCCATCATGGTCTAAACTGCTCTAAGTCTACATATGTTGTATGAATTATGTAACATGAGTGGAACAAATAAAGGGAAGAATGTAAACAAATAAAAAAGTTAGCAAATGTCAACCATACAACCCTCTGCCTCATAATAGCCCTTTCAGATTTACTCAACACTATTAAATGTTATTATTATTAAAGTGTGTAGTTTTATGGGGTATCAGCAGATATAGAATTACATTTTCTTAGTGTTTTTATTACTGTAAAATCACAGGAAATTACAAATAACTGTGTATTTGTTATCTAAGAAAGAATACGGCGAGTAACTGTATACAGAAACAGCTATACATTTGCACTGACATTTAATGGATATAGAGCCAAGAAGACGCCACGTGTATATATATGTCTGAGACCCATTTGTTTTTCAGTAATGTATTGTACTTGCGTTCAGACATTAACCTTTACATGTAAGGCCCAGGAAAAAACAACGGTGACATAAAGGGAAGAGGAAGAGACAAGCTTTGGAAACAAGCAGCATGTTTAAAGGGCTATTAATACAGTTGCTTCCTCAGAGTGGAAATATTTCAAATGGATTAAGAAGAATTGCATTCTCGTCTGCACAGGTGATGGAGATTTAATGTATACCCAGTATAAGCCTTATTTTCACTCTCACTCTCTCTCTTAATATCTTTTTCCTCTGTTCACTTTTGTCTCAATCTGCCTCTCCAGATCTCTCCAGTTAACACGCTCTTAACTCCTCTCCATGACGAGAGATTCGCTGTGTTCAGCAGTGTGTCACAGCTTAGCATTAGTGCTCCACAAATCACATCTAGATCATGTTCGCTTTTTACCTGCCAGCCATTTATTACTCTGTCTCCCTCACACACACCTTCAGGACAGGAAGCGATCAGGAAGTTCCCACAGGCACCGGCCAATCAGAATCCAGCACAGAGCAGGAAAATCCCCCTAGGCCTGCCCACCACAACCGTGCACGCACACTGTGCTTACAAGGACACACACACACAACCCTGTAGGTTGGGATACTATAGTGCCTAGGGAGTAACACCAGTATGGAGAGGACACTCGGAAGGACTACAAACACACACTTACGCACGTGCATACAGCCTCACACACACGTACAATGGGGAGCAGGATAAAAATACTGTGCTGACAAGTCAATTAATCAGATGTGAAGGTGCCGAGCAGAACAATCCTTTACAAGGCTGGAGTTAAAAAACTGTGTGTGTGTGTGTTATTATATATATATATATATATAGATATTGAAGTTGCTCAGCTTAATAACCTGTGTCATAAACTGTTGATTAGAACAAAAACAAGTTTAAACAGCTGCATTTTGGATTGAATGTGCTTGGTTAGAGCTGTTCTATTTTCTACATGTTCCTCTCTATTTTCAAAGTACTGTAGATGTGTTATCAAAAAATATGGATTTGTAAATAATCCAATGTTATTGTTTTCACACAGACTCTTGACCTCCCTACATCAATATGTTCAGGGTAACTCATGAGCCCGGATTTAGACAGAACAAAATATGAATTTGACTAGCATTATGTAATTATTTGTATTCTATTAATATTGCAGTAATATCTTTATCGTGGCTTCTTTTGGCCATGACAATTGTTTGGCAAATAACCAATATTGTAACAGTCCTATTCGATGATAAACAGAGTTGTTCTATCTATTTCTTGATCATAAATGCTAGAGAAAGCAATACTGCGTTGACATCTGCTGAAAGAGAAAGTTCCCTAAGTGTAGTAAATCTTAAACTGCATGGTCCACAAAAACAAAAAAAACTGAGTGGATTGAAATAACCACCATTTATTTTCGTCAGACTTGCATTTTTTGGTGACTGATGGAGCGTAGAATTCACGATAGTCTAGTATTATTTTGTTCTGAAAAGCACACGATTTGTTTCCTTTTTCCACAGATGTAAAGCCCCCCCCCGTGGTGCCATAATATGAGTTTTGAGTCTACAGGTAGGTCAATCACTTTGTGCACTAAAACTGTGGTGATAAAACAGACTTGGTAAACCATCAATGGCCAGTCAGTACTGTCAGCACCACTCAAGTGTGTTGACTTTGGCTTGAAATCAACAGTGTGACTGACTGACATCTCCTGAGTGGTGCTGAAAGCAGTCAATCAGCAGTGGGTGCCGCAATAATGACAGGGATGTGTGCACTCCCTCAGGAAGAGCTGTCAGGTCAATGGATCACTGCCACTCTGACACACACACACACACACACACACACACACACACACACACACACACACACACACACACACACACACACACACACACACACACACACACACACACACACACACACACACACACACACACACACACACACACACACACCCAGTGAAACAATATATTCCCTTGTAAAATATGCTGCCATTTTGCCTGTGCACACACAGTAAAACTCTCAAACATGCACACAGTCCAGTGTTGACAGACACTCGTGCTGCTTCCGTCCTTTCATTCATTATGAA